CTTACCAAACATGATATCCTTCTCCAGTGACTGGTGCCTGAAGTATGACAGATGAAGTTTGGCCATCTTGGCCTTCAAGGAGCACTCTAGCTGAACTTCTTCCAAAACAGCTCTATTGGTTCTTTTGGCAGCCCATGGCACTTTCAATATTCTCCTCCAACACCATAACTCAAAAGCATCAATTCTTGAGTTCAAACTGTTTTGTACCATCCAGGACCTGTAGTAACATGTTGTTGTAGCTGTATGTTGTTGTTGTTAGGTGCCGTTGTCCTATGCTATCCTCACAGTTGTTGCCATGTTTGAGCCCACTGTTGAGCCATTTCATTGAGAGTCTCCTTCTCATTTTGCCAACCCTTTACTTCACCAAGCATTATGTCTTTCTTCAGGGATTCTTCGCTTTTTATTATATGACCAAAGTAAGCAAGACAAAATTTCACCATCCTTACATCTAAGGAACTTTCTGACTATCTGAATTTCTTCCAAGACAGATTTGTTTGTTCTTCTGGCAATCCATAGTATTCAATGTTTGTTGTCAATAACACCACTTGAATGGGGCAATACAATTCTTTTTCAGTCTATATAGGCTTTGGTATGTGGCAAGCACAGTCCTTGATAGATATGAATTCAGTGAGTCTTGTAACAGTCCCATGAGAGAGGTACTATTATTGTTCTCATTTTATCCATGAGAAAACCGAGAGACACAGATAGATTAAGTCACTTGTCTGTGGTCATCCAGCTAGGAAGTAGGAATAGTCTCTACTATGACTTTGATTGATATTGATATTATTCATTGCATGTTGTGAAGACTCAAGTTCAGGAGACTCTAGGGGTTGATGATAATGGCTGATCCCCTGAGAATGAGCTATGAATTCAGGGACCATGTTCCACTACAAAAGCTTAGAGCTATCTCTTCCAGCTTCCTTGGCAGAAGGGATTGCGTGTATGTGTTTGTGTATAGAAATCACCAGCTTAACCTGCCTCTACCTAATGAGCATCCTGCTAACTAAAACGTATTGAGCAGTTACTCTCATTTAAATCCTCACAATGACTCTTCGAGGTATCACTATATCATCCACATTTGCTAGATGAGTAAATAGAGGTCCAGGGAGGTTAGTAACTTGCCCAGGTCACACTGTTAAAAAAATAACAGAACTAGGTTTGAACGCAGAGAATCTAGTCTCAGAACTCACATGCTCTTTTGCCTGCCAGCCCCCTTTACCTCTGCTCTCCATGAAGTCCACCAGGGTGGGGCGAGAGGTCCCGCCTGTGTTGTAGGCCACAAGGACCACCTTCCGGGCTTCCAAAGGCAGCTGAAAGGTGCAGCTTAACTCTGTGGTGTTGCAGAGGAGTAGGGCTGCCCCAACCTGGCCCAAGGGTCTCCAGGAGACCAGGTACCCTTGGATCCGCCCACTGTCTTCCTCCTGTGGCATTGGCTGAGGTAGGAATAGAGGGAAAATGATAAGGGGAATATGTACACTGTCTTGAGTGATGGAGAGCTTCTAGGTGGGTTGGATGGATCCCAGGGCCTAAGCCCCTCCCTCCCTCTGTGCCCCTGTGCCAGGTCCTAGGAGGGAGACCAGGAAAAAGCAAGTTGGTACTCACAGCAGGTACTTAATTATTCACTGCACCTACCCTTTCAGGGCATAGATGAGTCCTGCATTGTAGTCTCTTAAAAAGTACACACCCTGGCTTACTAGGTGCATGCAAAGTACATTCAAACCACATGGAAATGTGCCTAGCCTCCCAGAACAGTGTGATTCCTGAGTCTTAGATTACAGGGTTCTGTTGGGTTGAAGGAGGTCTCAGGGGTGAAGGGATGGCCTTCAGAGGGGGCACCTTCCAGAACAGCTGCACATCCTTAGTCCTGGGGTCCAACTGCCTCTGCTTCCACCTGGTGTCCAGTCTGACGATGGGGGCTATGGCCAGAATGGGAGGTGAGAAAGCCCATCAGGGAGGGTCTTAAAGAGTGGACTGGGCATGGAAGGCCGCCTAGGTCCTTCCTACCTACTTACCCTGTTCTGTGGTGTTCAGCTCCACACTGGGGCTCCAGTCACTCCAGTGGCCCGGCAGGGGCGAGCGGATGCAGCGCAGCTGAAGGATGTAGGCTGTGGCTGGGAGGAGGCCACAGAGCTCATGGCGGAGGATCCTGGAGGGCAAAGGGGCCACCTGGTGGAGGGTGTGGCTCTGAGCCTGGATGCCTGGGTCCTTAGCCCACACATACCCTTCCCTCAGTCACCCCCACTCCCAGCTCTTGAGGTTGCACTTAGCCTTACCAGAGCCCAGCTGACTTCTGCAAGGTGTGGCTGGTAGCGCAGCTCACACTTCTGTTTGATGAACAGGGTTGAATTCTGCGAGTGCCAGTGTAGCCACAGGCAGCCGGGCTGGGCTGGGTCCCCCTCAGGTCTGGGGGCCAGGGCCTTCAGGATGGGAGGCTCCAGTTTCACTGAGAGGAGGAGGATGGTGCTCAGAACTCTGTCCTGACCTTTTAGGGCTCCTTAGCTCACTCTTGTCTCTGTCTGTGGTTCCATTTGCCTCTCTGGGTCTCCATTCAGGGGGTCTCTGTATCTTCCTCACTCTGTGTATGTCTCTGTATCTCTGTTGCTTTGGGTCTGTCCCTATGTATATGTGTCTTTGGGTCTCACTAGATCTTCATCTGATGTTTGCCCCAGTGCTTTTGCACTGGTTGTACCCTCTACCTGGGAAACTTGCTTCCCATATATCCACATCATTGATCCTTCAAACATCTGCTCAAATATCACTTCCTCAGTGAGCCCTTCCCTGGCCATCTTAATGGAATAGCAACTGCCCACCACCCTGATCTCCCTATGCCCCTTCCTCATCACATTTATCCTGTTTGACGTCCTATTTTGTTTATTTTGTCCATTAAAATGTAAAGTTTGAGGGCAGGATTTTGGACGTTTTGTTCACTGCTGTATCCACAGGACTTTTAAGAGTGTACATAGTGGGCACTTAAGAAATTAATTATTTGTTGGAAGAACGAATGAACACATCTCCTTGCCTTCGGGTCTCTTCCATATCTCTGTGTCTGTCTCCATGTCTCTGTCTCCTATTGCATTCCCCCATTGTCTCTGTCTCTCTTCTCTGTCTCGATCTCTAGGTCTTCCAATGTCTCTTTATCTGTCACTTTTTTCTCTCGGGGCCTTCCTAGCTCTGCCCATTTTGAGAGCCTCTCCCTGCCCCCACACTCAGAGTCACCCACCGAGGTCCATGGGAGCAAAGCACAGCTGCGGGGACAGGCTGGTCCCCAGTTTGTTCTCTGCCTGCACCCTGATGCCAATATTCTGGTACAACAGCAGGTATTTGCGTGGGATGGAGCAGTGGCTCTGCCCAGCCGCAGGTATGCAGTCCGGAATGGGCTTCTCTTGGGTCTGGCAGTTGCCCCGGCTCCTGCCAACAGGTTCAGGCTTGGGTGCCAAGCACAGGAAAAGCACATAGTCCTACCCATATCCCACCCCAGAGCCCAAAAGGTAGGAGCCCTCACTCACTGGAAACTCTTTAAGGTATAGTTGGTGGGTAGGTGGGAATCCGGGCCTGGTTCCCACTGGCAGATGAGGCTGTTGATTGTGAGGTTCATAAGGCAGAACAGGTTGTATGGTTTTGGAGGAGGATCTGTGTGGGGTGGAGAGAGGGTGAGAGCTCTGGGTGGGACTAATTGGTCTTGTTTTTTTCTGACCTGAGTGGATTCTTCTGGGGTCACTTTTTCTGTCTCTCTGTCTCTATACAATGTGAGTCTGGAGCGACAGATCTGGGGTAGAGGAATAAGCATCACAGAACCCTGGTGTCTTGGTGCCTCCCCTGCCCCACAATCTTCCTAACTCTAGACTCCTTTGTCAGTGGCATTATAACGTCTGGGTTTCATCCAGGTTCTGTCATTCATTAACCATGCGATCTTGAAGTTAATGAACTATTCTGTGCCTCAGTTTCCTCATTTGAAAAACAAACACCTCCATGGTTATTGTTGAAGTGAAATGATTCATTGCACATAAAGTGCTTAGAACAGTGCTGGGCACATAGTAAGTGCTATGTAAGTGCTAATTGGTAGTATTATTAAGTTCTTAAACAAGACTCTTAGTCTTTTTTCTTCCTTTCTCTCTCTCTCTTTCTTATGCTTCACCTTTACACAAAAGTTCTATCCTGTTCAGTTTGAACAGAGGGCTGAGGTAGGGGTGGGCGAGAAGCTGGGAGTTAGCCCAACGAGTAGAGTGTGTCCTCCTGGATTATGTCCCCTTATGGCCAAGGATTGGGCTTTTCAGCAGCGATATCGTGGTTATGGCACTGGTTTTAGAGCCACACTATTGGATAGAAATCTTGGCTCCATCCTTATTATCATGTGACCTTGGGCAAATCACTTTCTCCCTCTCAGCCTCAGCTTTCTCATCTACAAAATGGGGCTGCTAATAGTTCTCACTGGTAGGGAAGATTATCCATAATATGCTAAATGAGCAAGTAATGGCAAGTATGTCTTAGCAAGAGAACATTGGAGGCTGAGTGGATGGATGACTGGAGGCACTTACACCCTGCCTGCAACTCGGTTTGGTCCAGGATCTGCAGGCTGTTGCCCCAGCGCAGGTAGCAGGAGAGATGTGCCTGTGTGTGGTTGAGGTGGGGCAGGGTAATTGTAGACTCCAGGCTCCCATCAGGTAGGTGCTGCTGTCTCCCACCAGGTTGAAACTCTGATTCCAGTTTCCACAGAATTTCTGACTGCAGCTTCAGGTGACGGCAATTCTGGCCAATGGTGCAGGAGGCCGTGACAGGACCCCCCAGGTGGATGATGGGGTCCGAGAGGCTGATGTGCCCACACTCCTCAAGACCTGGTGTGGAAGAGAGCGGGTCTTAGATGACTTCTCTGTCAGGCTGAGCCAGGTTATCAGGCAGCCTGTGTACTGGACTGTGGGCCTTCCCTCTCTGTCTTTCTCACTAAGGCATGGAGCTGGAGTGGAAGGATGTCGGTGAGACAGAGATCGATGTGCTGATAATTGTTTTTAAAACCAGCTATTCAGAGGAGGGTAGACCCTGATTTGTAGTGTGTGCCACTGCCCTTAGTGTGAATACTGTCACTACAATTGAGTCAAAGGCACCGATCTGAAATCACTGAATGTGGGGCTAAGGAGAGGTATGCACGATTAGCTCTTGCAAGCCCGCTCCAGCACACCATCAAATAGACTCGTTCCTTCCCCAAGGATGATGAAAGTAATAACTAGAATGATAAGCAACCCACAGCCACAGCAAACTTTTCAAAATTCAAATCAGTGTTACCCAATCCCGGCCAGAACATTTCAATGACATGCTATTGCTCTGAAAGGCAGTCGATAAGTGGATAAGAACATGGATGTTGGAGCTAGACTGTCTAGGTTTAAGCCCTGATTTGATTACTTATTAATTATGTGACCCTGGCATGTTGTGGAGACTGTCTGTGTCTTAGTTTTCTTATCTGGAAAATGAGGATGAAAATAGTCCCTGCCTTAGTGTTGCTGGGAGGTCTGGATATATTCACATGTGTAAGACACTTAGAACAGTGCCTGGTATGTATATAAGTATTTATTGTGATAATTAGGATAAAGACCCAAATCCTTCACATGGTCTTAGTGATCTGGCTCTTGCCTAGTTCTCTTAGGTCCAGCTCAGACCATCCTCTCTCAGCTCTGACTACTCTGGCCTTCTTGATTTCTTTGAAATGGCATGATCTCCCCAATCTCACAATCTTTGAACCCACTGTTCCTCCTTGAGCTGCTCTTCCTCTCTCCTTCCATTCTCTTTGACCCAGTTAACATTTAAGTGTCCCAAGAGAAGCAGACTAGGCTCTTACTAACCAGACTAGACCAAGATGCCTGTATTTCCCCAAAGCTCTTATTATCTTTGACTATTATAAGGAGCCAGATCTGGTAGCGTAGTGGTTACGAATCGGGTTGCTAACCTCAAGGTCGGCAGTTCGAAACTACCAGCTGTTTGGCAGTTCGAAACTACCAGCTGTTTGGCAGTTTGAAACTACCAGCTGTTCCGTGAGAGAAAGATGAGGCTTTCTGCTCCCATAAAGATTTACAGCCCCGGAAACCCTGTACAGGGTCACTATGAGTCGGAACTGACTCCACGGTACTTAACAACAACTACAACATTATAGGATCATAAGGAGTTCTGGTAGCGTGCGTAGTGGTTACGAATTGGGCTGCTAACCTCAAGGTCAGCAGTTCGAAACTATCAGCTGTTCCATGGGAGAAAGGCTTTCTGCTCCCATAAAGATTCACAGCCTCGGGAACCCTGTACAGGGTTGCTATGGGTCGGAATCGACTCCATGGCACACCACCACGACCATTATAGAATCATATGATTACTTACTTGTCTGTGTCCACAACTAGACCATACAAGTACATTCAGATAGGCCAGGGACCTTATCTGTTTTGCTAAGATAAGACATTCCCTATGTCTGGAGTGGCACTGTGGGTTAATGCTCTGGACTGCGAATGGTTTGAATCACAAGGTCAGCGGTTCAAGCTCACCAGCTGCTCCTTGGAAACCCTATGCAGGGTCTCTATGGGTTAAAACTGATTCAACAGCACTTAACAACAAGAACAACTTTCACAGTGACTGGCACAAATTAGGTCCTTCTTGTTGTTAAGTGCTGTCAAGTTGGTTCTGACTCATAGCATCTCTGTACATGGTTTCTGAGGCTATTAATCTTGTTCATCTTTCTCTCTTGGAGCAGCTGGTGGGCTCAAACTGCTGACCTTATGGTTTGCAGTCCAGTGCTTATCCTACAGAACCACTGCACTCCCATTCATTGGTGAATGCTTACTAAATACATAATTCAGTAAGCACTGCACTTTGCCCTCACTGCCCCAAGAAGTAAAGCAATTTGTCCAAGGTTATAGAGCAAATACTTGACTCTCAACATGGGGCACCTACTGCTTCACAGACTCAGAACTTCAGGCTAAAAGGAAACTTGTACAGTTGTCTACTTCAAAGCTCCTAAGGTTGTGCTCTCTACAGCAGAGCTTGGCTGATCTGTTTTTATATGGCCTGCAAGCTAATGATAGAGGTGAAAGGGTTAAAAACACACACACACACACACACACACACACACACACTTCAACAGAGACTGTATGTGGCCTGCAATGTCTAAAGATCATTATCAGACTAAGTTTGCCAACACTTGCTCTGCAGCATCCCTGTCAGCCTTGGCCCCAACTTGCATACCTCTGGAGATGGGAAGCTCATCACCTCTCAAGACAGAGATTCCATCGTTGGAGAGCTCTGCTTGTGCTTGCTTATTTGAGGATGAAACTTGCCTCCCTGTGACTTTGTTACCTGACAAGGCTGCACAGGATCCTGAGGTTCCTTCTGACAACTGGCAGAGATGAGCAGACAGGGCCTGGGTTCCCCCAGTCTTTTCCAGACTCACCACCTCAGGTCCTCACACCATTCCTGATGGTGGTGGTTTGTCTGATGTGTGCCACATCTGTGTCCTAATCTTGAGTTTTTTTTCTGGGAATCCCAGGAACAGTAGAGTGAGCAAAGCAGGGAATGAATGAGTCCATCCCTCCTCACCCTTCCCCCACTCACTTCCGGGGAGCAGAAGGATCATCAGGGCAGCTGTGATCAGGCTCCAGGTACCCAGCCCCTCCATAGTGCCAGCCTTGGTGCTCACCTGAAGACAGAGGGATTGGTTAAGCGCTTGGGCTTTGGAGCCAGAGCTGACCTCAATCTTTGCTCTACCATAGAGTGGTTTTGACCTGGTTACTTGACCTCTTTGTGTCTCAGTTTGTTTAATTATAAAATGGAGGCAATGACAGTGTAGACTGCAAAGAGCTTTGGGAGGAAGATGTGATCTGACACCTGTCAAGGGCCAGGCCCTTAGGGAATAGCTTTAAGTGATAGCCCCTGTTTTCATCTGCCTTCCAGGAGAGAGGGGAAGGGAACAACAAGAAATAGCACTCTTTCTCCCCACCCTCCCCCGGGATAAACAGAAACTCAGGCAAAGTATTACATGCAGGTAGTTTGTTTTAGAAGATTCCAGGAACAGAGGAAGAGACTGGGGAATGAAACAGGGAGAAGGCAAGCCTACACAAGGTTATGTTATTGAGTTTGTCACCTCTGAGGGTAGCTGGGGTTCGGTCCTGCTGGAACCTTCTTAGTAGCTGTGTAGAGCACACCTTGCAATGTCTACCCAGATGACAAATTATCCTTGGGGTGGGAGGGGGATGGGAACATTTACCCACTGACTCCTGACCCCTACTGGGTGCCCCTTGAGGGGCATTAACTCCCTTGCACTTCCTGATTGTGCATGCATGTGTCCCAGGTGGGCTTTCCTGGTGACCCTTGTCAAAGGCATCGCAGAGGCCCCCTGGGAGAAAGTGAGAATGGCATTGAGCCATGGGAAACTGGCTGTGCTCAACAATGTCTAGAGGGAAAGGTCGACTTCAAGCATGTGAGCTGAGAACTGAAGTCTAATTCACCCCCAATTCTGGCCTCTGGGGCCATGTATTGTGTGGTCCTGGATGGAGACAGTGTGCAAAGGGAGCCACTGGTATGGGCAGCTTCCACCTGGCCCCACTTTTCCCTCTTTTCCTTCCAGGTCAGTGCAGGGAAGGGAATAGTAAGGAACAGCATTCTTCTTGTTGCTTTTGGTGGCAGGCTGGTGGGAATCACTAACTAGCTAGCTTATGCATGCATGAACATATACATACAGGGGGTTCAGAAGAGAGTCCCAAGTGGTCAGTTAGACCCTGTGCTCAGAAGGGAAAAAAACCAGGAGAAGCTTTTTCTCTTGCTCCCAAACAGAGGTAACTAAGTGTTCCCCAGACACTCAGGGCTGCTCCTTGCTTGCAGTGACCTCATTGTAATGTTCAGTCTGTCTATGTATGTTGCAGGGTAAGGATACAGGGCAACCACGGGCCCAGAGCTCACCATTGTGCACATTAGAAAAAAACATGCCCCTTCCTCTGAGCAGAAGCAGCCAACACTAGGACTCACAGCTTGGTGCCTGGAGAAGAAGTTAGATTTCAGCCTTCACTCATCCCTCAGCTGGGCACCTTTGTTCAGTGAGAAACCTGCACAACTGTCCAGAGCTCCCCTGCCGACCAATCAGTGGCTGGCAACCCCCACTCCACTATCACACACACACACACACACACACACACTGCTTGGGAAAAGATTTGCCTCCTAGGTCTAGATTTCGGGACACTAGTTCCCATATCCATGTGTTTTTGTCATGTCCCAGCCCTGCTGCCCTGGGAGGTCAGTTTCAACTTCAGGCCCTGCTTATGCTTTTTGAGGTACCATCTCCTCCCCATCCACTGGCTCCTGTCCAGAGTGGACTTCGAAACTGCAAGCGACTAGACATCCTCCCCATGAAACACCGGGTGTTGATAGATTTGGCATCAGCCTCTGGTACCCCATGGCAGCTCTGGGGACTCCTCCTGGTGAGTGGGAGCCAGGCTCTGTTGGTGCATGGTCTCACTCTTCAGACACAGAGAAGTTGGGAACCCAGTTCTGACGCAGACCACTCAGACTCAGACACTGAACCCTGGCTCTGCCACTTACCGACTCTGACGTTGGATAAGTCACTTCACTTTTCTGGGTCTCAATTTCCCCATCTGTGAAAAAGGGATAACAATAACACCCATTTCTCAGATTGATACGAGGCTGACATGAGACAAGAACACGTATCCTGCTCCTAGCATGCAGTAAGCATCCAGTAACTGTGAATTGTTTTCTCATGAGCCATAGAGCAGGACACCTCCACCTGAAGTCCAGTACGGTTTAACATCCTCCACTTCCCTACCTGGTGTGGCGTGGTAGGATAAGCACTGGACTGCTAACTATAAGGTCAGCAGTTCAAACCCACTAGCAGCTACTCAGAAACCCTATACAGGGTTGCTATGAGTTGGAACCAACTTGACAGCAGTTAGCAACAACAATAGCCTCCCCTCCCAGGCTGTGTGGTCTCAGTCTCTGAGACTGCCACTTCGTTTTTTGGCTTTGTCATAGCAATTCTAGGTTCCCTCCGTGTAGCCCTTTTGTCCCCCCAGGACCACTGCCCTTTATTCTCTTCCCCCTTTTCTGGTCACCTCTCCTCAACTCCCCAGGTGCTCCCTGGATTTGCCCCCATCCCACTTCCCTCTGTTTTCTCTCTTCTCCTTCACACCCATCACTGTCCCCTCCTCTCCTCTACCTCATGTCCCCCTCGTCCTAGTCTTTCTATTCTCTGGGAAGAGAAGAGAAAGAAGGAAGGGAGGGATGAGGAACAGAGAGAAGAAGGTCTTCCCAGACATGGTTCAGAGAGAGAGACAAGCAAAGAGAGTAACAAAATAAGACAGAGACGCACATATGCACACGGTCTGAAATGATGAAAGAGACTCACAGAGATAAAGACTGAGACCATAGAGACACAGGAGATGGAAACAGAGATACTGACCGAGAGAGACTGAGGTGCGTGAGAACGAGAAGCAATACCCGAGAGGTATTATGCTTCAAGAGACAAAGGACAACCTGAGTGACAGAGAGAATGGCAGCGGGAGGCTACAGGAAGGAGATACAGAGAGAAATGGAGGAAGTGAGAGTAAACTAGACAGCTGAAGACAGGGAGAAGAGGAGAGACGGGGACACACAGACATCCAGGTTCTGAGAGATCGGCACAGGGGAAGGGCTTGTCCCTAAGTCCAACTCTGGGTTCCACAAGAGATATTTGGCTTCCCTGATGCACTCCTCAAAACAGGTTGGTGCATCCCTCAGAAGAGTCCCAATGTCCAGGCTTTCTGATTCCAAGGGACAAACCACGAAAGTGAGAATCCTTGGTCTCAGGCCCAGGGTCCCTTGAATATAGACACTTGGCAGAGCTGTAGGGGGTGGACCTGAGACTCCAGGTCTCCATCATGCCCAGGGCTCAATCCCTCCCTGGGGGCCCCACACTTACACTGGATCAGAGGGTTAGGCACCCACCAGGCCTCTTTGGTCTCTCCTCTCCTCTTCAGGGCAAGTTCCTGAAAACAACTGCGGTCCTGCTCTCCCCGTCCTGTCGTTAATGGCTCAGCCTCCAACTGGCCAGGGGCTGGGATTGCAACACCTGCCCAGCCTCCCTCCTGCCCTCCCTTGCGCCAAGGGCATAGGCAGCCCCTTCCTCCCAGGAAGGAGCCTGGGAGGGAAACTGGTGAGGCCCAGGCAGCTTTCCTGCCTCAGGGGGTCCTAAAGGGGTTGGGGGATGTGGCAATGATGTCCCCCTCCCCTGTCTCCGGATTTCCTGAGCTCAAAGCTTTGAGGCTGGGTAGGGCCTGGGCTCCAAACTGGTTGGGTGATATCCCCCTGCTCCCTTGTCACTTGGAGACAGACCCTGGGCTTGAAGGTTCATTCAGCTCTAAGCCCCTACTCTGGGCTCTGATGCCCACAGTCTTCAGGAGGGTGTCCACCAGGTGTTTAAAACTCAGTCCCTTCCTGAGTATGGAGTGTTGCTATGCTCCATTGTTCAGAGGCTGAGGCAGATGGAGGAATGGAGACAAGACAAGGTGGCGTCCTACGGAGGCACAGGGTTTTCATATGTTCACTAAAAAGTGCTGTAACATTTCCCCCAATGATTCTGCTACACAGAATTTGAAAAATGGTTGAAATAGACCTCTACTCTAAATCTTTCATTGTCTGGATCCATGGACCCCATGTATTTGATCCTTTAAGAAAACGTGGACTTCCAAGGTTGGTGGCATGGGGCAGGCCTGGGCTATAGTTCTAGTTCTAGGTTGAAATATCCAAATGCCTGCCACAATCTCCTCGAGACATTCTGCAGGCTCCACCCAGGCATTCATCTGAGCCCTCCACTCATCCTTTTAGCAAATCCCATTGACTCTTCTTTCAAAATATAACCAGAAACCAGGGTACACAGGTACCTCTTGTAAAATTTTTTCAATTTGGCTCTGTGCTTGAATATTTTTATGATAAAATGTTGGGAAAATTTAAATGACACTTAGACCAAGACCAACTAAGTCCCAGTCACTCTTACCTTCTTCTAAAACCATTGAGGTAGCCCTCTCTGATTTTTGGAGTCTATTCATCCTTGAATCCCCCAGTCCCCCTCATCCTATTCTTTTGACAATGTCAAACTGCTTCTTGTTCTCTGTTCTAAACCCTCAATAGCTCCTGTCTTTTTCTTGTTGTTTTTAAGCGCCGCCAAGTCGACTCCAACCCATAGTGATCCTGTATAAGGTTTCCGAGGAGCAGCTGGTGAGCTTGAACTGCTGACTTTGCAGTTCAAACAGCTTTTCAGTCTGGCGAGTGCATTAACCCACAGTGCCACACCAGGACTCCAGCTCCCATCTTATTCAGAGTCAAAATCAAAGCCCTTTGAATGGTTGACAAGATTCTATACAACTTGAAGGAGTTCTGGTATAGTGCTATAGGATAAACACTGGAGTGCTAACTGCAAGGTGGGTGGTTCAAACTCACTAGCTGCTTCTCAGAAACCTTATATAAGGTCACCATGGGTCAGAACCAACTAGACAGCACTTAACAACAACAAGCTACAAGAAAGAAGCCCGGGGGGTGTGGGCAGTGAGTTAAGCGCTGGGCTGCTAACTGCAAGACTGACAGTGTGAACTTACCAGTCTATCTGTAGGAGAAAGATGAGGCAGGCTGCTTCTA